CCCCAAAACCCCAAAACCCCAAAACCCCAAAACCCCAAATTTTCTAATCTTATTGAATAATTATTTTAATGTCTGGAACAACCAGAAAAAGCCAAGCGGACATGCTTTCTTGTGGACTTGTCCCTCTCCAGAACTTGGATATACCCAAGCTCAAAGTGGAAGAAGAGCAAAAGCAGGAGGACTGGCAGGAAGCTCAGCCTCAAATGGATCAAGAGGAGCAGAAAGACCAAGTTAACAGTGAACAAGATATCCAGGACCAAGATCATATTGATTCAAAGGATAATGACAGAGATGTTCGTGCCCGACAGATTAAAAAAGAGCAAAAAATATTGCAACAAAGAAAAACAAGCGTTGAAGACAAGATTAGCAAGATTAAAAAGGAAGTCGAGAAGAAGAACAAACAATTGAAAGGAAAGCCTCTAGAAATCAGACAAGACCAACAGGAAAAGAAAGAGTTTGAAGAACTGCAAACAAGGTACTTTTTAGTCTTAATTTTAGGTACAAAAAAATCCAGAATGCTATCGAGTAAGCCTTAATGGTTATTCCTATGTAGAGAGTTCAAATTGAAAAATAAACCTCAAAATAGTAAGAAAATATTGCTGACTTTTAGACTCAGACCCTATGCAGACAAATCAGAAGATGGAAGATTACTTGACAGATATGGAGAAGGAAGTCAACGAATTTAGCAACAAATTTAAGGAAAATGCCAAAATAGAAGGTAAGCAATTTACAAACTGCACCATTTTGAGAAATTCTCATACTTAGTTTGCCAAGTTCGGTGAACAATTTCATTTAAACTTTTATTCGATTTAAAATGCCTTTATTGAAGGAGATTTTGATGAAGTTGGAGTTATAATGTGTAGAAAATGAAGAAGACCAACAACTCAAGCTAGATCATATATTAAACCCTCCAACTCCCTTTGACCTCGAACAGACCCTAAAGAAGCTAACAAAGGGAAACAAGGAGGATTATGAAGAATTAAAAAATTATCAGAAATCTCACAGTATTTCATAGCTTAATTATGCAGATCCCCCTCATACAAGGTCATCAAAGTCAGGGAGTGAAACAAAGCCGCAAAGCTCGCTTATTGAAGGGCGTTCGCCGAAAGATTCTCTTTCAGAATCAGAGGATGATTTGGAGAAAAGAAAATCTGAAGGAGTAAGTTAAAGAATTTACTGATATGGCATTTAAAAATCTATTTTATGACTTAATTTTGCAACTTTTAGAATTCTAAAGATCATGAGGAAACTAAATTTGGAAAGTAAGGTAGATTCAATAATTTATCTAGTCCAGATGAAGAAGATAAAAGTGGAACTGATAGTTTTGTTTTATGAGGTACAAATAAAGCAATTGGACTTATTAGTCAAAGTAGTAGTATAGGCTTTCTTCTGATTTTGAGAATAATTATGTTTCTTACAAATTATAAATAAAGATGACCTATCAAGCAAATGCTCACAAAATAGTAATGAAGTATCTTTTTTGTTTATTATATTTAGGGAGCAGATAATAAAGAAGAAGAATGGTAAATTATTTTTATAAAAATGGCTTCACTAATTTTATATCAATCAGAATCTCTTTGCAACCCAATTTAATTTCAGAATCTCTCTGAACTACATTAAAAACAAACTAGGCACTGTGAAAACATTTTCAACAAAAGGCTTATTTTTATCCTTTCAATTTATGATGTATAGGATTAACGAAACTGTGTCTGAAGAACTCAAAATAACTGATTTGAGTAAGTAATAAAGATAGTTAAACCAATTCTTGGTGAAATAATAATTTTATCCAGACTTTCTCAACTTTTTGATTGACCAGTACCTCGAACAACAAGATCCTCTATTAAAACAGAAGAATAAACCTGTAATTATTGAGTTAATGTCACTTTAGGAAACCGAAAGCTTCAAAATTGCTCATGTGTTCATGTTTTGGAAGGTATTCTAATTATTAAGTCCTTACTTACAAGTAAAATTCTATTTTCTCTGAAATCTGGTATTATTAATATTTCTCACTCTATTCTTGTAAGTTTTATAGGATTTCACATGTCAATAAATATAATTTTCGTTGATTTATTGCTTTGCAAGGCATTCATTTATCACCGAAGGTCCTAAGAAGATTTGCTCATAATTTTATTTCGCCCTCTTTTAAAACTGAAAATCTATATTTTAGTCAAAGCTTGATAATCAATTTGATAATTTTATCGTTTCCAAATTAGCTTTGTTATATATTTAATGCAATGATTTAGTGGGGATCCTTCAAAAGCAAAGATGAAAATGTAAGTAGAATTCGGATAACTTTATAGTCAGAAGAGCCTCATTTTTTGCCAGAAATAAATGAAAAACAAATTAAAGATCACATTAAAAGTCTTATGAAAATTATCAAAAAGTATGAGATGTCAGACTGCGCCTTATGGAACATTCTTTGAGACCAGTCAAAACATAACATTAAAATTGATGAATATCTTAAGGGTAAACTACAAGAATGCAAAGAAGATCTAGACAAGGTCAGAAATAAGATAGTTGATTTAGCAACGCCTGAGAGTAAGATGCTAATACTTTATTTGATCAATAGAATATACTTAAAGTTATCTTTAACAATTTTTAATGGAACATCATGTTCAAAAAATAATAAACTTTTAGAAATAAAGAAAGAAAAGGAACAGGAGATACTTAAGAAAGTCATGAAAGTCCTTCGTAAGAAATTTTGCAAAGAATAAATAACATTCTCATAGATGGAGATCTGAATGAATATAATAACAAATTAAAAGAAAATATTGAGAAAGACAAAGAGAAAATGATTAAGGAAATCAATGATAAATGAAGTGAAAACCAAATAATATTAAAGAAAAAATATCAAAATAATATTGACATTATAGTTAGAATAGCCACAGACTTTGAAATAAACTTTGCAACAAATAATAAAAAATTGAATTCAGAAATTGAGGAAAATAAAAAGAACATAGAGTAAGTTAGTTTGATTATATTCAGATCGATCACATCTCTCATTGAGTTCAACGAGAAAAGAGAGAAACTTAACAAATAAAATAATGGAGATTAATCAACAAATAGAAAAATTGGATTCCAAAGCTAATGAGAAAATCCACCAATGTATTTATACATATAAGAAGGAAGAAGCTCTTCTTGAAGAAGATCTAACTCAAATACAAAGTAATTTAGTAAATTGATCATCTCTAGCAAAAATTGATATTCTTGATGCAGAAACTCAAGAAAGATCCGAAAATTCAGTAAATAATCAGATGAGGGAGACAGAAACTTATAAGAAATGTACCATTGAATTTGTTCATACTCCCAAACTTGAGGAAGAACAGACAAGTGCTTTAGTCATTCCATTTGATGAGCAACTCAGAACTAGCAATCTTCCTGAAAGCTATAGAAAATTAGCCGAAGATGCTGGTGAGAAACTCAAAAATGCCTGTCAGCAATACAAGAACCAGCACTTCAGATTAAGAACAGGACTTGCTACAGTGTTCCCATCTGGCAAATTGAAGTTCAACAGTATTATTGCAGCTGTTGGACCAATAACATCTAGTGAAGTCTCTGAAGAGCTGATGAAGAAGACCATTAATTCAGTTCTGGATTTGGTGATAGACTATAACCTAAGTAATAAATAAGCAATAATCTTTTAGAGTCCATCTTCATCCCATCGTTTGTGAACAATGACTCTGAAATAACAGAAGAGGAATATATAACAATAATTACAAGAGTAAGTTAGAAATGAATATTTTAGTCAATCCAACAGTTTATTGACGATAACTCACAAGATATGGCAACCAGAAGAATTGTAATAGGTAAGAACATATTTACCAAAAATATTTGAAGGAAAATATAAGTAACTAGAATCGTACTTAGGGAGAAAACATTTGATTAAAATGTGATTTAGTGATTCTATAGCGCGAATAATTGTATTCTTACTAAAACTATCAAAAAATCATCTTCATCTCTCATCCTCTCTAATTTCACACTCATCTCTCCACCTCTCTATGTTTTCCTCACTCATCATCCCTAGAATCCCCTGACCCAGCTCCAGCCTTCCCGCATTCCCCTTCAGACATGTCATCTCCAGTTCTTAAACCTGTTGCAACTTCTTTATCAACAGGTATTCCAGCTTCTGACCCTCGTGAAGAATCCAAGTCCCCTACTGTTGAAGCACTCGAGGACACTCAACCTGAGCTTCCTAGCCAGGAAGACCAAGACCAGCCCGAAGAAGAATCAGATGCAATGAAGGAGTAAGATGTTCCACTTAAGTTATAGGTTGAGAGAAAGGAGGGAAATGACAGCAAAATATAAAGGATAATTGATAATTGATGTTCAATGTTGACCACAGTCTGGGGTTTTGGGGTTTTGGGGTTTTGGGGTTTTGGGG